ATTACTCCAAAGAATATTTCAAAACAAATATATTTTTTGATATTGGACAGGCATTTGATCATTACTAGATCTCTAATATGTTGCTATTTATCTTCATTTCCTCACATAATAATACAATAAAAGATCAATACACCGTTTTGTATGGAATTATCAGTATAACCGTATACGGTTCGACCAACGGCTACATGTTTCGCTTTTTATCTAGATTTTACATTTTTTTTATAGAAATAAGTAAAGAGTTAAATATTCTGTGATTACAACATCTGATGACTTGGTTGCTAAATTAAGAGATACGCAAACTAACCTATAGATTCGATCATCGTATGTACATAAATATGTCGAAATCTGCGTATTGTTATTTGTGTTTTCCATGGTAACAGGAGAATTAGTCAGAAATGCAGATACCGTCGTCGTTGTGCGGTATTTTGCGTCGCCGTCGGTCATGGCGTCACGCAGAACGGAAACTTTCACAATGTCAGTTGAATTAATCAAGTCCCTTGTATTGCGTGTAGAGATGATAGATCACTGGGAGGAGCTTATACACACTCGATGACCCCTGACGTCATAGGGCATTGTTTCGTCGGTGTGACTGGCAACAAAATACCACAAATTACGTCATAGGGTATTGTCACGTGTTTGAAAAGGTTGGCCCTAGACGAATACATTTCTAAAAATATGAGAAAATGCTGCACAGTGAAAAAAATGCATTTTGCTTTGTTTATAGCCCCGTGTCAAGGGTTTTCGGACGCTATGACACATTCGTAGATTTCTCTCTTATCACATGAACAACTGTAAAACGTCCCATTCACAAGGCATCATCTGAGTATTTAAAATGTCTGTGTGATGCTACACCTACTGCTATAGCGCGACTGGTCGCGATAAACATGGCCGTCCGAAAACGTATGATGTCCGAAAACTTATGATCCGACGGTAGCTATTTCGAATAAGCTAGGCCTACTGTTTCCCCAATATTTTTATTAGCGACAAAGAAAATCTGTCATTTAATGCTAAAATGTATGAGGATGCAATTTTGGATGCATGTACCTCAATGATTGTGAAATAGGCTATAGGCTATGTGATGTAGCCTAATAGACGTATCATAGCCAGCAAACGCGAAACGTGATTTTATGGACACTATCCAATATATCCCTCTGGATGCCGAGTTTTTTTCTGAAGCACATTTTCCTAAGATCGGAAAAGTGAAGGTTGTACGAGAATTGCGCTCACGGGGCACTGGATCTACCTCTGGCTATAAAATTACGCAGAGGTTGAGAATATGAAATTAATAAATTTCCTTTTTGATGGTGTAAATTTAACTGCAAATATTAAACCGGTTTTAAAAAAAAAGACACTTTTAAGTGTTGTCCGAGAATTTATTCTGCGTCGAAAAACAGTAAATTTCTCCGCTTTTTATCGTTCACCGATAAAAGTACTGTGCGACGATTTTTTTATTTAGAAGCTTTACGGAAATTGTGAGCGAACAAAATACTGCCTAATATCTGAACGACAACTACATATCAAATGGAGTTATATGCTTATGTACAACAACATACATTCAATGCCAAAAATAGCATGCCGTGAATGACGAAAACTGATTTTCTCTCTGACGTCAAAAGGCGACAGAGAGGCTACACACGTACAAAGAAAAGGGGGCATAACTCCGCTATGCTTAGCACTAGTTTATTGTAACTCAGGTCATTTGATGAGAATTAGCTGTGGGTAAGGACAATATATTTTCGTGGTGTTTTGTTCAGGAGGAACCAAACTGTTCCAACACAAATATCGATATTGAAACTGTATACGTTTAGTTATAAAATATACCCATAAGAAATGATGAAATCGTACTTCATAAAAAGGAGGTAATAGAGAAATGGATGGCCTTATCTAACCTCTAACTTAGTCCTTAGATTCCAACATTCTCCTGATTGGGTAAGTGTAATTTGACTAATGTTGCATCATTATTAATGGAGCACTAGCCTTATCATCAAATGTAATGAAATACCCAAAAATTACACCATTCCTTTTGACGTCATGGCTGGTTTTATGTCTTTGATAACGTCGGAGAAAGACGACACCGGTATTCTGATTAATATATATCTCCCCTAGTTTTCGTTCATGGTGTGGAAAATTACATTGTGTAAAACGGAATTTGACGCTTTTTCGACACAACATAAAATAAGTGCTTTCACCGAGAAAATAATGTCTTGAATATGATGTACGATAGTTTATCGTGTATCTTAATTGGACAAGACACGCACCTGTTTGGCATCAATTTGCGTAATGAAATACTCAAAAGAATATTTCAAAACAACCAAAATTATATTCAATATTGGACATATATTTGTTCATTATTATGTTATTATTTCTTACACAATAAAAGATGCGAAGAAAGCTCTGTTGGTGTAGAATTATCAGGATAATCGTTTACGTTTGAACCAAAGGGGTACCCGGCATGGGTTTTATTTTTATACTTTTTACAATTCCTAGAGAAATAAAGTAAACAGTTTACTATCCTGTGATCACAATATTGAAAAAAAAGAATGAACCCATCAATTATATAATGCAAAACGAGAGGAATAATTCGCAAATTGTTTGTGACTAACGCGCACCAGGCGAATCGTTAGATATCAATGTCCTGTGTCAAAGGACATTAAAACAATTCCAAGACCAAGACGACTTTTTCAGAAATGTGTGCATATATTTTACCGAAAAATATTATCCATTTTGTTAAAGTAATATATTCAGTTTTAGTAATAAAATAAAATGAAACGGCTATTCATGGACATTGGTTATATGAACTTATAATATTGACTATATCACACATCCCAAGAAATACGTACATGCTGCAGTTACATTTACACTTCATCTTGTAACACTTGTCCAAAGGAAAGAAATATCGTATTCGACACTATAAACCTATGTAAACAATGTTCAAACAAACAGAGGATGATCAAAGGTTCGTTCATACATGGTGTGGCCTATATTTTCGTATGATATCATTTTGAACATTGACAAATATCCAAAGTGAAATTAATGGCGAAACCGCATTATCGGTGGTTTGAGAAGGGAGCTAACTCCGTTTGCCTAATCGAAAGTTCGAGGTGGGCCCACATTCGAAACTAAACGCACTTGTTGTTGAGAATATGTACAATGTAAACTAACCCGCATTACGAACTGTTATTTTGTCTATTTAAAATAAGTATTATTACTTATAATTGGATTAGAATGGAACCGCATTGTGTGAAAAAATGTATAAAACATATGCAAAATCTACATCATAACTGAAACTGTAAACAGCATGATACAATGATCTTGTGCACTCTCATTCAAGGACCTTCACCTCAAAGAAATTACCAAATTTGTACAACAATGTTTACGTATGACATCACTGCCTGTAACCGACTTTTACAAAATGGCGTGTTCGCTGTCAACAGTACGCGGGATTTTACGAGGGGACTTTCGTTGATTCAGGGATCGTATATACATAAATGTGACATGTAAGTAATCAGAAACATTCTGACAATCTCTCTACTGATATTTGTTGTTATAATTTTCATTGAAACAAACGGAAATAGTCAGAAATTCCGATAAATACCGTTGTCGTTGTGCGTGATTTTGCGTCAGTCATGGCGTCACACAGAACGGTATCTTTGACAATTTCTGTTGAAAATATCAAATCATTGCAATGTATCTATTTTAAATTCCCTAATTCTTCCTACGACTCTCTTCCCATGAATATACTGAAAGTGTTGAGGCAATAACTTGAACGAATAGACAAATGGATAGCTAAAAATAGGGAAAAAATGCTACACTGTAAAATTTATATTTTGCTTTGTTTACATTTCAAACAAGTGCATTTTTTCGAGCACAGCGTTCGTTTTCACATCTAACTTATTTTGCTTGATTTCATCTAGCCAGTTTGTATTGGTGACAAAGAACATTGGTCATTTGATTTTAAATATATGAGGAATTCAAGGATGTATGTATCGCAGCAAAGTTTGAAATATACGTGAGGTTACATGCGTCTCATAACCGGTGTACCTGAAACGTGATTTTGTAGACACTATCCAATATGGCGAAAAGTTCACTTCGGCGTTCGTGTTTGCGTATTTTTCAAAACTTTCGAAACGATCTAGGGTTATCGGTGACGTTTTGAAATGATCATTGGTGATTTCATAAAAGACAGATACCCGTGATCACTAATATGCTATTTTTGAAATTCATTTCTCCCAGTAAATATCCGAAATTTAGATTTCAAAACATGCTGTAAATAACGCCGTGAGTGGTGATTTAGAAATGTGTAAAAAATGGCGACATTTACGATGTACCTAATTTTCAGAGTTCATTTTCAGTACTTTTGCTTGGCCTAAAATGTCAGTGGATGATATCAGAACAGGGAATGTCCCACCTTATTTAAAACTGTGAAGTGTAGTTGTGTGAGCGATGTATTCTGAATTTTATTCAACTTCAAAGTGAGGGTTGGAGAGGAGGGACATGTATGTCCCTGTGGCATCCAGGGGGATATGGCGGAAAGTTTACTTTGGCGTTCCCTTTTTTTCGAAAACATACAATACAATTCTAGGGTTATCGGCGACGTTTCAGAATGATGATTGGTGATTTGATGAAAAACAGATACACGCTATTTTTTAATTTCAATTCTCCGAGTAAATATCCGATAGGTCTATTTAGATTTCAAAACATAGCCTGAATAACGCCGTGAATGGTCATAGAGTAAATGTCAAAAGTAGCGATATTTACGATGAACCTAATCTTCAGAGGTCATTTTCGGTAATTTAACTTTGCCTTAAATACGGATGATATCACAAAACAGAGCGTTTCCCACTGAATTCAAAGCTGTGAAGTGTATTTGCATGCGTAGTTTAGGCCAACATGTTGATGAACTTCAAAGTGAGGGTTGAAGAGGAGGGACATATTGGCCTATCCAGGGGGTTAAAAAAGAGCAATGAAGTTCGCAATATGCAGAAAATGACTTTACTTACGGTAGCATTTGATCCGTTGTGTAGGGTAAAGTCCCCCAAAATCCCTGTTACTTCAACGATGCGGATGAAAATGGCGGCGAAAAACTTAGAACGTTACTCACTCTCCTACCCAGAGTTCCGTGCGGGAGAAACTGCGCCGGCCTCGTGAGATAATTTTAGTTTGTCGTTTTATCAACGGACTTTACGTATATCTGTATTTTATCCTTCAAAGAATGTACAAACTATACATGACTTCTCTACCAGACGGAAAGATCCAGCCCATAATTGAGGCGTAGCCCTGTTTCTCAGGACAACATGTGAGTACTGCATGAGTAGTGATAGATGATAGGAACATGCTGTTGGTAGTCCATATGATGTCTCCAAATATTATTATCAAAACTCTGTACAGTTTCAGAGAACAATTGTAAACTTCAAGTGCAAATGGGGGAAAGGAATATACTCAATAGATTACCTGTAATTTAAAATGACTAGACTTTTGACATTTCATACTCTCTTATTTATTCACAGGTGTTGTCGGAATTCTTTGCAATGGTGTACCCAGAAAAGGAGGCGGAACAGGCAAGACAAGATGTCTGGCAGAAGGTTGAATGGCTCCTGTGGCAAGTGGCGAATACAATGAGCACTCTTATTATCATATAAATAAAGTCTTCTGAATAGCTTCACATATCAAAAGTACTATTCCCCCCCTCATGTTCAACATAAAACGGTTAATTCAGTCCCTTATTTACTCATTGGAATCGAAAACTCAACTGATTGAGTATCTCCAGCTGTTTTGAGTTACGTCACAAAGATAATGACGACGTACATCACATTGTTATGGTCTGTGACCAGGTGATGGTCATAAATCGGACAGTTGTTTACCAAGAGTTTCCAGTTTATTGTACCACGAACTTGTTTTGACCCCCCTAAAGTTTTGAGGGTCACAGCCATCAGCTATGAAACTCCTATATAAACAGCACCGTCAGTGAAGTCAGAGAGTGGGGCAGAGAAGGGCGCTGAACACTGAACAGGACCAGACCGACAGAGCAGTCCAGAAGAAACGGCATAAAAACACAAGCCAACGGCCAACGGCCAACAGCTAACAGTCAAGTCATCGCTCAGAAGGCCAGCACACTGGGACGAGCTCTAGTCACACTGGGTCACGCCTAAAACAGCCCATAGCCTCTCTCACAGTTTCTGCCACGCCCTTATTTAGTGTTCGTAGTACCAGCGTATAAAAGAGTCCTTACTATTAAAACGCTGCTGAAACCGAAGACCGTTTTTTGTCTGTTGTGCGACAATTTATGGCTAGGGGCCAGCCGTCGCATTCGTTTGGAGACGCATTACTTTCACGATTTACACTATTTTAATCTCATTTCTATTCTATGTTTTGATTACAGTTAAGTCTAATTGTTAAGTTAAGTGAAAGTTATTTGTTATCATGTCAAATAAATTTGTCTTCTCTATCTCTTTTTATCAAGTTTGACCATATGAGAGCCTCTAAAGTAATACCAGGGAATATGCCTTACAAAAATGATGTTAAATCAGGGAATATGTATAATACCTGAAAAATTTAGGGATTATGCATATTCCCTGAGTGAATCAGACATTAAATATATTCCCTGAAAAATTCAGGGATTACACATATTCCCTGATTATACATTATCGGTAAGGTATGTGCCCAAATCCTTCCTTAGCTCGCAGGAACAGGTAGCTGTAAACAAGACGTTTAGGATGTCGTGTAAGACGACAAACTGAAATTATCATACGAGGCCGGTGCAGTGGTGACTTGGGTTTCCCACAGGGAACTCGGGGTAGGAGAGTGAACGTAAGCTTTTTCGCCGCCATTTTTATAAGCATCGCTGATATGCTTTTAAGTTATATATTTTAACTTGTCTCTCGTGAAGATGCTGAATCCGTCACTACCACTGATGACATGGGACACAAGACAGCGTGGACATGCTACGCCAACCGTCCCCGCTGATCTACAAAAATGTATGTTTAAAGTTGGTTGGTTGGTTTGTTGTTTTACGCCGCACTCAGCAATATTCCAGCTATATGACGGCGGTCTGTAAATAATCGAGTCTGGACCAGACAATCCATGAGCATCGATCCACGCAATTGGGATCGATGACATGCATCAATCAAGTCAGCGAGCCTGACCACCCGATCCCGTTAGTCGCCTTTTACGACAAGCATAGTCGCCTTTTATGGCAAGCATGGGTAATTACAGGGGCATAACTCTTACATCGTGTCTATCTAACCTCTTAGGGAAAATCATTTTAAGTAGAATAGAAAAACACACACTCAGTAACCTCTAATCCTTCCCTGATGTATTACAATTTGGTTTCAGAAAAGAACATGGAGCAATCATGTCTGCATTCACTTTTTTTAATGAGTTAATTTTTACATAGAAAGAGAATCGCAAGTGTTTGCTGTATTTTTAGATAATGAAAAAGCTTTCGATCGTATTTGGCAAGACTGTCTATATGTCAAAATACATGACTTTAGTGTCAAGGACAAATTATGGAACCTACTTTTCCATAGGTATACGGACAGCTGGACTGTCATATCATATAACGGAGAAAGATCTAATAATAATCTTCTCGTTTTCAGAAATGATGTTATGTGTGAAATAAAGAAACCAAACGATGGCCTCTCTGTTCATGGAATCTGTATAACCTGTGTTTTATTGGCCGACGATACCAACACTCTTGTCTACAACCCCTCGGGGCTTTACTTGATTCAGTTAGTTTATCATCTTCCCGAGGCAAGAGAGTTAACTGACTACAAAAGTCCAGTTTCCACCCTTGCCGAACTAGGCTGGTATTATGGAGTTACAGTTTGGCTGGATTAACGAGTCTATGCATAGTCCAATCAAAATCGCGCACCGAAATCGAAATCCGGTTCGTAAACTGTCGTGCAGATTTCGGTCGATTGCAGGATTTGCAGAGCATGTGCACCACCAACTCGTTGTCAACAGATATTTTCCTAATCCTTTCATGTTTTAGGTGTTCACGTGATTTGATGCACTTCGCGATGTAAGACCAGTTTTATCACAATATAGATCTTTACTATCGATCAGATCGTCTTGACAGGGCGCCGCCATTTTGTTTGAAGCAAATGCAAGTGATACGAGAGGTGGAATCTGATTGGTCCATAGGAGAGGCATAGAAGGGATATAACTCGTAATAGGTGAGGTGAGGTGAAAGTTTAACATGGATATCCCACTCAGACACAGTGTACTGACTCCGAGCCGACCAGTCCTTGTTTTAGCCCCTTAATGCCGAGCGCCAGACAGGGTAACAACTACCATCTTTTAACGTCTTTTGGTATGACGCGGCCGGGGATCGAACCCCGGACCCTCCGCTCTCCGGGCGGACGCTCTACCACTAGACCACGGAGGCGATCAACTCGTAATAGTCACTGGTGGCGTTACGATCGAGCCCTTGAATTTTAGCCTAGTTCGGCAAGGGTGGAAGCTGGACTTTTAAAGTCAGTTAACTTTCTTGCCTCGGGAAGATGTTAGTTTATATGCCAACAAATGGAGACAAAAAGAAACGTCACCATGGATAGATATATGAGATACCTTATTTGTCCAAACACTGTAAAGATACTTTGTGACATATTAAAAAGGTGACACTTGGCAAAACTGATCAACAAGGTTGAAATTAAAGTGTCAAATGTTCTTAAAGTGAAACACAACACTAGTCTCTGTGAAAATGGCATTACAAGTCAGTATCTCGTGTGTTTGCCATGTGTATTGATGAATTCCGTGCAACGTCGACACATGGAATTGGTGAGGTGGTTAATGGAGGCCATAGGCACTTGAGCCCACACTCTGAGGAACGCCTGACGCAGTTCAGCTGCAGTTGTCGGCCTTTGTCGGACGTCATTCAGCCGTCTTTGAATCTCTGAGGGAAGGCCACTGCATGGCTCTGATGCCATTCTGCTGGAGGAAGTCTCCTGTTGCTGTTGCTGTCGCAGGGTGGGCACGGGCGTTATCATGCTAAGACTCGTGGTTGCAGCGACTTGCCAAATGAGGTATGGCGTGTGGTCTCAAGACTTGATCAATGTACCGAGCTGCTGTGGAACCATTGCCTCTCCTTGGACTGATGTTCTGGAAGACCACAGGGACGACCCTCTGTGCAAGGCCAATTCCACCACACACCATGATGCTCGGACCACCCCAAGAGTCTCTCTCAATAACACAAACATCCGGATAACGTTCCCCTCGGCGTCACCTGACTCTCTCTCTCTCTCTGCCATCTACTGTTGAGATACAGTAACGCATGTCTGAGAAGAGGACTCTTCTCCACTGCTGGTGGCGCCAATGCTTGTGCTGTGTCGCCACTGAAGATGGTCCCGTCGATGACGTGGTGTCAGAATGGGTCCTCGGTGTGGCCTGTGATAGTGGAGGTGGCACTTATGTGTCGCTGGTGTGTCCCAATGGTCTGTCAAGCAGTTTCCGCAGCAATAACAAAGCGATCTTGAGGTTGCTGTCGCACAATCTGACGATCCTGATGTCGGGTGGTGACCCTTGGTCCTCCATCTGCAGTGTTGGTGTTCTGGTACCGTTGCTGGAACCTGTATATGGTCCTTACGTGGATGCATTGGCTACTAGCCGGGCGGTTTGTCCAGCTTGCAATTGTCCAAGGGCTTGGTGTTGCTGATTTCTTGTCGATCTTGGCATGTGGTAGCAATTCAACAACGAATGAATGTTATCTGATCTGAGTGGATTTTTACCGGGCCAGAAATGGGGAACCGCATGTGCATTTCAATTTGCACGGAACTCATGTGCATCGGGTTACCATGGCCGTTGCCGTGATGCGTTTGGTTGATCAGTTTTATTGTTTATCTGCTTTGGGGTTTTTTAATCATCAAATTTCATTTTTCCGAACAAGTTAATGTTAAATTTTAGAAACTTTGACAACAATTACTCAGATATTTAAATGACAACTTTTCATGCAATGTTACTTGGTGACGTTTCTTTTGCAGTTCAGTATATAATGCCTTTAAAAGAAAGTCACTTGTAATTTGCAAAACACGCCAGCTTCATAATAAAACTACAAGATTGGCGATGCAACAATTGACACCTCTGACTCTGTCAAATATTCCGGAATATTCAAAAACAGTCATGTATCCTGTTAAAAAAAAGTCATGAAAAGTTGTCCAAAAGC